GGAGGAGACACTGTACACCATATGAAGGTCCATCTCCATTCCTCAATATAACGTCATGTGACCTACAAATGAGGAGGAGATACTGTACACCATATGAAGGTCCATCTCCATTCCTCAATATAACGTCATGTGACCAACAAATGAGGAGGAGATACTGTACACCATATGAAGGTCCATCTCCATTCCTCAATATAACGTCATGTGACCAACAAATGAGGAGATACTGTACACCATATGAAGGTCCATCTCCATTCCTCAATATAACGTCATGTGACCAACAAATGAGGAGGAGATACTGTACACCATATGAAGGTCCATCTCCATTCCTCAATATAACGTCATGTGACCAACAAATGAGGAGGAGATACTGTACACCATATGAAGGTCCATCTCCATTCCTCAATATAACGTCATGTGACCAACAAATGAGGAGGAGATACTGTACACCATATGAAGGTCCATCTCCATTCCTCAATATAACGTCATGTCCCCAACAAATGAGGAGGAGATACTGTACACCATATGAAGGTCCATCTCCATTCCCCAATATAACGATGCCATCAGTGCCCATCCCCCGTCACTCAGTGTTGGGTTTGGTGTATTGTAGAATGTGTTTTTCATGTCATTTTGCTTTCTATCAGACGGCCGCCATGTCCGGAATACCTCGGAGGGAGATCTTCACTCTGAAGTGAATGACATACGTCCAATGATACACCACAGAACATATTGTCTGGAGACATCAATGGATCCCTCTAATCCTGAGGAATCTTCTGACCAATCACATCACATGACTTCAGATATCCATCTCGGATCCCACAGTGAAGACCCGTCTACAGATCCAACTATCCCCGAGGAATCTTCTCTCAGCCATGAAGGAGATCACACAGGAGAGAGGTCATTGTCATGTTTGGAGTGCGAGAAAGACTTTAAGATGAAATCTGAACTTCTTCTACATCTCAAAACCCACAACCATGTGACCTTTTCATGTCCAGTGTGCGGGAAAACTTTTTTTGACAAAAGAAACTTTCTTAGACACCAGAAAATTCACACAAGTGAACGTCCATATCCATGTTTAGAGTGTGGGAAAACTTTAACTTCCAAAAGAAACTTTCTTAGCCACCAGAGAATTCACACAGGTGAGCGTCCTTACACATGTTCAGTGTGTGGGAAAGGTTTTCTGGTGAAACGGAACCTTCTTGCACACCAGAGAATTCACATGGGTGAACAACCTTATGCATGCTCAGAGTGTGGGAAAGGTTTAACTAGCAAAGCAGATCTTCTTAGACACCAGAGAATTCACACAGGTGAGCGTCCATATTCATGTTTAGAATGTGGGAAAAGTTTTGCTAGGATTGGAGACCTTCATAGACACCAGAGAATTCACACAGGTGAGCGTCCGTATTCATGTTCAGAGTGTGGAAAAAGTTTTACTAGGAAAGAAGACCTTCAAGGACACCAGAGAATTCACACAGGTGAGCGTCCGTATTCATGCTTAGAGTGTGGGAAAAGTTTTGCTCAAAAAGGACACCTTGTTACACACCAGATAATTCACAAGGTTGAACATCCTTATTCATGTTCAGAATGTGGGAAAAGTTTTCCTAGGAAAGAAAACATTCTTGGACACATGAGAATTCACACAGGTGTGCGTCCATATTCATGTTTACTGTGCGGGAAAGGTTTCTCGTATAAAGGACACCTTAATAAACACCAGAAAACTCATAGGTGTGAACAAACATTTTCATGTTCAGTGTGTGGGAAAAGTTTTACTGACAAAGCAAACTTTCTCACGCACCAGAGCATTCACACAGATGAGCTTCCATATTCATGTTTAGAGTGTGGGAAACGTTTCTCGCATAAAGGACACTTTATTAGACACCAGAGAACTCACACGCGTGAACGACCATTTTCATGTTCAGAGTGTGGAAAAACTTTTACCGTCAAAGGAAGCCTTCTTAGACACCTGGGAACTCACACAGGTCATCGACCATTTTCATGTTCAGTGTGTGGGAAAGGTTTTATTGAGAAAAGATGCCTTCTTTCACACCAGAGAACCCACACGGGTGAGCGTCCTTTTTCATGCTCGCAGTGTGGGAAAAGTTTTACTGACAGACCAAACTTTCTTAGGCACCAGAGAATTCACACAGGTGAGCGTCCATATTCATGTTTAGAGTGTAAAAAATGTTTTGCTGACAGAGGAACCCTTGTTAGGCACCAGAGAATTCACACAGGTGAGCGTCCGTATTCATGTGCAGAGTGCGGGAAAAGTTATACTGACAAAAGAGCCTTTCTTAGGCACCAGAGAATTCACACAGGTGAAAATCCTTAGGGTGCCTATATACGGTTAGAATTTTGGGCAGTTTTTGAGGAACCGGATTAAATTTGCATAGCGTGTGGTGTTTTTGGCTTCCTCGATCAGCTGATTGAAGGAGCTTTTTGGAAAATCTGCGACCGATCAAAGCCAGCAGCCAATGAGCTGCCTGCTCTGATCGAATATTCTGACAGGTGCCGGTTGCACCTTTCATAATACAGAGTAAACATTGGGATTCCTCGATCGACGCGCTCTTTGTGTTGGAGGAATCGGGTCTTTTTTTTTCCGTTCAGCCGGCGGGTTGAATGGCAAAAAAATGGATCAGTGTAGGGACACCTTTTATTCATGTTTAGAGTGCGGGAAAGGTTTTGTTACGAAAGGACATCTAATGAGACATCGGAGAACTCACACCGACGGAAACACCCGACCAATGTATTTTTTCCATTATCTCGAATTTCTTTCATTCATTTTTGTTTGTGAAATATTTTTAGTGTCGTACAAAATTGAAATTAAAATAAAATTGTGTAGAATATAATGTGTTCTGTGTTTAAATAATAGAAATGTATTAGTTTTCAAACATAAGACAGCAAACAAAGGGTGAGAATAGCCGCGGGGCATCGGCAGAGAGATTCTCCGACATCTGCTTTCCTCCATCATCTATGGTCCCAATCACCCCCTCCCTCCTCTAATATAGTATGCTAGTGGGTTGTACACAATCTGGGGGGGGGCGGGGGGCTCCATTTAGAGCTCTATCATCAGGCCTCATTGTTGACCCACCTTTCCCACTGGATGATTGATCGCAAAGATCAATTATGATGGGTTGGGTTAGAAGAACGTCCAATCACCGCTCCCTCCTCAACAGGGCTGTGTGGTCACTGCGTGGCGGTCTCACCATGGCTGCAGGGTTGGGTGTGGGTCTGTGCAAGTGGGTGTGGATCTCACCAGGGCTGTGTGGTCACTGCGTGCCGGGCTTACCAGGGTTGTGCAAGCTGGTGTGGGTCTCACCTGGGCGGGTGGGGGTCTCACCAGGGCTGTGGTCACTGTGTGGGGGTCTCACCAGGGCTGTGGTCACTGCGTGGGGGTCTCACCAGGGCTGTGTGGTCACTGCGTGCGGGACTCACCAGGCTTGTGCAAGCGGCTATGGGTCTCACCAGGGCTGTAGGGGCGGGTGTGGGTCTCACCAGGGCTGTACGGGCGGGTGCGGGTCTCACCAGGGGGTGCGGGACTCCCTAGTGCTGTGTCGGGTCTCACCATGGCTGTGCAGGCAGTGAGAAGGAAGAGGAGGAGATGTGCAGTCGGCCTGGCACTGTAGACAGCCTCCACGAGGTCCTTACGGCAGCCAAATCTGTTAAAAAATTTAAATCGGCGTTTAGAAGACGTTTATATACCGGTGACCACCCCTCGTCTCTTCATCAATGGGTCACCTCTCAGGAACCAGGCACGGGAGTGTGTAGAGGGCATAGAAGGACCTGACATAGACGTACAATGGGTCTCCTGTGAGAAGATTATCTGAGCATGTGGTAGAGGATCTGTGATCACTGAGGGAACGTTTACGGAGACACAGAAATTACAAACTGACTGCGGCTTTAGCCGCACCCGACTCTTCTATAGAGAGAGTGTCCGCCTTGTTATTGGAGAATTATCTTCACTTCCTGTCTGTAGAAATGTTTTCAGGAAGACAGGAAATTGAAGGAAAATCTCTAAAATTGGAGCCCCAGACGGCAGAAAAACCCATCAGAGGTTCTAACCGTTCTCCACTCCATCCAACTCTATATACTAGTAGCCCCCGGTGTACACCGTGGGTCCAGTTCCTAAGGGAATGACTGTAAATAGACACCCCCGGGGCTATTCACAAAAGCGGATTCGGAAACATTCTCCAATTTGGCTCACTTTCCGGCTCAGCTATGTTGTCCCAGATTGTTCCCTTCTCCGGCCTTCTCCAAACCCTTCACCCTCCTGTGACTAGTCCCCCGCCCGTGTGTAATGTAAGTCAATGGGGAGCGAGGGAGTTATGTCCCAGACCTTTCCCGACGTACACAATATAATCCCGAGTGTCGTTCCGGTCCACACGCCGGCGTCCACGTCTTCGGAGTTATCAGGAATGGGGTTTGATTTCTGCAAGCGCGGAGATTTTGTATTTTACCGAATAATGAAGATGACGTCAGACAAAGTCTAACGGAGGAACGAGACACAACTCGGCGCTCGGAGGATCGTCCGCAGTTCTCATACACGCAGCAAGGTGGCGACATCACTAATCAGTGAAGAGTAAGACCAGGAAGTGATGTCAGATACAGACAGGAAGTGATATCAGGTACAAAAGGAAGTGATGTCAGGTACATACAGGAAGTGATGTCAGGTAGAGAGGGTGAGGTGGGAGAAAGTAGAGAGGAGACATTGTTGGAACTGGTAGCAGAGGAGGTAATGAGATATTAATTTACCTACATTTGACGTTTATTTAACAAATCTCTGATTTTCTCTCAGTTAGTCATATGACCTTTAACCTCTTAGTGACCAGTGGAGTCCATAGTACGTCACTGGCGCCGGGCCCGTATAAACAGACTCCCGGCGGCTGTACAATGGAAGCGATTCTACCGCCTCAGCTGTCTCCAGATCGCTTCTCCGGGCTGATAAACAGGACGCCCCCGCCGACACCCTCGCCGCATTTCCCGGGCTCCGCTGCCCCTCCTACGGCCCGGGACCGGCTTCTCGGGGGTCGGTGGGGCGGGGGGCGGTGG